CCTTGGAAAAGACCCTGATGTTGAAAAAGTGTGAAGGCAAGAGGAGAAGGGGACAACGGAGGATGAGATGGTTGCACAGTGTCATCAAATCTACCGACATGAATTTGACACAACTTCGGAAGGCAGTGGAAGATAGGAGGGCCTGGCGTGCTCTGGTCCATGGGGTCACAAAGAGTCAGACACGACTTAACAATTCAACAACAACAACAACATTTTAACTATTTTTCTGGGAAACACTGGGAGGCTGTGAAAAAGCTCAGGTGCTGCATTTGTCCTGTTCCTGACAAGTTAATATTCAAGAGTCTTGAGAAGAAAACAAGCCATAGAGAGGCTTCAGGGTCTGTGAAGCAGATGCTAGTCAGAATATAATAAGGCCAATGACTACGCAGAAGTGTTCCACTGAGTAACTCAAGGGCGTACAGGATGGTGTCTGAAAAGAACCATTTCTCTATCCCTGAAAATGAGGCCAACAGGAAAAAGTCAACTCTGCTTGCTCAGGAATGCAGGGCCAAAGCAAACTTCCATTTCTTATCCTGACAAGAAGGAACCCAGTCACTGGTGGTTCTGCCTTCCAGAGAGGAATAAGTTTGCATAGGCTGTTCCTAAGGACTCCTCCTCTGGTCACCTTTCCTTTCCCTACTCCCCATTTTTTATTCCCTTTTTCCTCTGTTTTCCCTCCTTTCCTTCTCAAGGTTTAGGCCAGGGGTTCCCAACCTTGGGTCCCTTGGGGTTTAGGGAGAGAGTGACTGCCTGATTTCTGGTTTTCTTCTTCATCATTGTTTCTTCTTGAGGGACCGCTCTATTTGCCCTTTGATATTTACTTCCCTTTTGCTGTTTGTGTATTGTGACCCACCATGACTTTACTTCTGGAGTCTTTGGATCCATTTTGCTGCCAGTGAAATATACATTCCTGCCGCCTTGGAAGGAGCCCATGGAACATGATGCCTCTGGCCCATCATCCTTGCTTTGGAGCAGACCCAGATTTTCCACCCTTGGCTCCTTCCCCAGCCTCCATGCCAACCACAGGAAAGGTGCTTAGTGTGCTTCTGCCTTGGGCACACCTGCCATTTCTGCCTGCTTTGTAGCAACCCTTATGGCTGGTTCCTGCTTGATATGGTGCATTAAGTCCTAGTGTTCTCCTAGGTCCCCCTTGGCTTTTATGGTTGCTTTTGGTCCAGTAAAAGATGGAGAAATTCAGAAGGATCTTTTCTTGGGGGTCCTGGTTTTTTTTTTCTTTTCCTGCACTTAACCATTCAGTTGACAACAAGGCCTTCATGAGATTGCTTTTGGTGCCCATCCTGGACAGGCTTGAGTGTCCAATCATCCAAGAGGAGCTCCACTTTGCAAAGAGACAGACACAAGGGAGAACCTTCTGGTTATCTACAGCTAATGCCCTTGAACACAACAATGTTCTTCCCCTAAATATGGATAAATTGGACTAGACGAGTAAGGATGACTGAATTGTAGGCAGAATTGTGCTGCAGATCTGTTGTTTGTAGATATTGGTAGTGCCAATATTTACAAACCACCAATATCTTGGACTTCACTTTCATTTCAGCTGTTCCTCCCTGCTAATGATGCAGTATATACAGAGTGGGGTGCCTAGCAGGATTATGTTCTCAGTGTTTGTTTATTTAGGGTGGAAGTTAAGGTTTGAGAAGGGTGCACCAACGTTCTGAGTGAAGACAGAGGGGTTGACCTCTGGTATGAATTTTCTTTCTTTTTATGGCTTCATTCACATCTTTTTGCTTTATATATATATAAAGGATCAGATACATGCCCTGAAGTCCTGGCACACTCTGCTTTTCTGTTGACCCATTCTGCACTGCCCTGAACTTCATCTCTTCTATGGCTAGGAATATTAGTGAGGCTTTACTCAGTAGCAGAAGATACAGACTGCCACTGTTCTGGTGAGGCAGGAACAGGATGGGAGGCACCTCTCGTGTTAATTTCTTACAGCGGGCAGCACTGTTACTTCCTCTAAGAAAACCACACAGGTCTTGGTGAGGAAAATATACTAGAGTCATAATTTACATTTCTTAAGTAACAGGCGAATCAGTACTGCTAACTTTGCAGTGGTTATTTATTTATTTAATTTATTTATTTATTGAGCTTATATGACACCCATTTAGACATAGTCTACTCTGGGTGGCTCACAAAATGCAGAATAAAAACAATTAGTATCCAATAACAATTTACAGCATTTACACAGAACAAAGTAGATAAAGACAGAGAAAAGAGGAAGGTTCCCAATCTTGGATCCCCAGATGTTGGACTGCAATTCTCAGAAGCCTTCGTTTTGCTGGCAAGGGTTTCCGGGAGTTGCAGTCCCAGAACATCTGGGGAAGCAAGGTTGGGAACTAGAAAATGGCACCAACCATTAGTTCAGTGGTCCGTGCCAGTTTGTCCTTTGAGCGAACAAGTGCTTGGTGGTTCCCAGCCCTGCCTCCTCCAATGAGCGCTTACTCAGAGGCAGTGACACAGCTTCCATGCCCCGCCTCTTCTGGGCACTGCCTCTGAGTGATGGCCCACTGGAGAAAGCAGGGCTGGGAATTGCCAAACACAGCATGTACAACCAAACCGGTGATTAGGGCCCATCTCTAATGGGATTCACTGCATTGGATTAGAGGCAGACACTGCAACTTCTAATCTTCTGTATTTCTCCTTGTGGCACGGATGAGGCTAAAATGAGTGAGTGAGATATCCTGCCACTGGACAAAGCTCTTCATCAGCTGTTGGTTTCTGATTAGTGAGTGACAAAATGTTGAACGACTAAACTATACTCTATAAATTACTTATCTTTAGAAGAGGAACTTCCTTTTGGTTCAAAACAAAACTGAGAGTAAGTGGTGGGGAGAATTTAAAAAAACACCTTTGTTAAATGTGCTCAGCACTTCATAAGTTTTGATTATTAAAAAGTACAGTTGCAGAATTAATGTACATTTTTCAGAAGAGAATCCTACAATTATGGGTAATGCTGTAGCTTTATAATTTGTGGAATGAATTGAATGAAAAGTGCCCAAGCTCAGGCATTTATCTTGAACCTGTATAAAATTAGCATCGAGAATATGAATTAAATTGGTTACCAACCTGTCTTCACTGTTTCTGTCCCCCTGCATAATATGCCTCCTCACTTCCCAAATATCTCTCTGAGTGCCTTTATTTGAGTACAGGTGCTATGATCAAGTGAGGGTCTCTTGATCAAGCTAACCCATGACCCGTTTTGTCATATACATCCCTGTTCCAACAAAGAACTCAAGGCAGCCTACAGGGCCCCCACATGCGTCTCTGTGGTTCTCCTCATAACAACCCCCTGCAAGACATTATGCTCAATAACAGTGGCCCAGAGTTGGAACTGTGAAATGCAGAGTGTGCAACTTTTTTGCATCTGAAGGATGGGAACCCGGCCGTAGACATTTGTTGATGGAATGGTATGAACCTGCAAGCTCCAATTAATTGCCTTCTGCCTCTTCTATCTGAGTGGAAGGAAACACAAAGGAGGCAGATTCAGCACAGAACCCATATGACCATCGCATGATGGCACTCAGGGAGCAACTAGATGGGTATTTTTCCCTGTGATTTGTGGCATGATTGTCACTGTTCCTTTTGATATTTATTCCATTGACTAAACAACATTAGCACTAATTGCAAGTAGATAAAAACATTCGGCATGAATACATGGTATATTTTGTTGGCCACCAAGAGTGGTTGTTTTGTTGTTGTTGTTTGCATGTTTGGGTTGTTTACTTGTTATTATTGTTGTTTCTGATGTTTCCACTTGTGTTATTTAATCTTGATTTTTTTTTGCTTGCGTGATCGCCTGTACAGTACCGGTTCTTTAGGGCCTCTGTTGGATGTGTTCAGATGACATTACTGATGATCCACAGAGTGTGTGTGAGTAAACCCTGCTCCTTCAGTGTGTGTACTGGTGATGACTACAACTGCAATGCAATTTCAAAATTGTATTTTTTTAAAAAAAGTTTTTTTCCTCCTAGGATAGCACTAATCCAAATATTTACCAAGTCTTCTCAGTTCGGCACTATTTTGCTTGCTAAGCATTAAACAAAAGGAGGGAGCTGAGCGGTAATAACAGCAGAGTAGAAAGAGAGAAATGTGGGCTGTGTGACATGTAGACACTTGAAATGTACTTTCTTGGGGATATTAAATATTTCTGTGCAAAGAGCAACACGGATTTGAATGCCTGGGTGTGGCATAAAGTTTGCTTAAATGTCTCTGTGGCCATGCCCTCTGACATTCCTGTGTCGCCCAACTGCATATACCAGTCTCATGTGCCCCTAGTCTAACCCAGTCTAGAATGGTCTTATAGACCAGATGGGTGGGGTACAAATCAAATCAAATCAAATCAAATCAAATCAAATCAAATCAAATCAATCAATCAATCAATCAATCAATCAATCAATCAATCAATCAATCAATCAATCAATCAATCAATCAATCAATCAATCAATCTAACCGCTAGGGCAGTGAAACCCAGATACCAAAACTGCTGCTGGTGGCTGTGGATTGGGCCCGAAACACCAAAGCTTTGTCATTGAGGGAGGTTTTGAATCTAACTAATACCACCTTTTACTGGCTGTTACTACCACCATTTGGATTTTCTGCCCTAGATGCCAACATATGTTGGGCTATGTGTCTCTGAGCTGACAGTGATTACACAATATAAAGAAGGTGATTTTTAAGTATTTCAGGCCCTTTTGCATTGGGCAGACGCAGCACCTTTAATTGTATCTGGAACACCACACAGAGCTATAGTCTGTGTGACCCACACAACTAGCAATCGGTCAGATTTCTGTCACCTCTGTGACAAGAGCTCTGTGTCTCATCTCCAGTATGGTTGACCCTGGCTAATGATTAATTTCTCTGTCTTACTCCTCACTTTCCTTTCCTATGTAAGGCAGGGTGAATGTCTACGAAGGGGGGGGGAGGGGAGAAATGCATGAGCTCAACCACTACTAGCCGACTTCCTTATTTGTCACACTACCTGCAACACACAACGACTGCGGCAAGTAAAGGAGGTCGCTGCTTCTTCAGTATTTCTTCTTTTATGACTGGTTCAGCACAGCTTATCTGTCCATGAAGCCAAAGTTCATATGCTGTTGTCAATACCAGGATGTATAAGGGGAAGAGGAAGGGACCAAAAGGGGTGGAAGAAAGTGTGTGCGCAATATTCTTGAAGGAACAAGGGAAGCCGTCTGACTCTATGATCGAAAGCAGTAGTCCTGGATGGTCCTGAGGAAGTCTATGAGACCTGGGGATTTCCTGTGCTACTTCGCAGAATGTGATCTCCTCTGAGTTTCTCTGGTGAGCCAAAGTTGCTTCAATTTCTATCAATATTCATCAGAAGACATTAAATAAAGAGCCTGCAACACGCACACGCACACTCCAACAACCTACAAAGGAGGCAAGGTAACATATGTAAAGGGAATGGACTTGGGAGAGGGGTGGAATTAGATGATGGTGAAGAGCAGCCGTGACCTTCTTTGAGATGTGTTCATTGCCAGCAGACTGGCAGAGAAGGAAAGGCCAGCCTTCTCTTTTTTTAAAAAAAAGTCAAGAAGAACAGGTAGCCTGGACTGTGCTAATTGCAAGATTACAGCCTGTGATCATTTTGAACTCCATGGTCTGAAGTGTTCCTGAGTTGATTTCTGCACATCAAACTGCTCTTTAAGGCAGAATCAACCAGAGCAACTGACAGCATTAAAATGCAAGGAGGTGTGCCATGTGTGCCTAGATTGGTTTGTAAGACGAGCCCTTTCAAGGCTGAGGGCTGTCTCAGAATTCCATTGTCGAGAACTCCAGTTGCAGACTAGTAGAGAGGAATTGCATTATATAGTGGTGAAAAATGTACTTTTCAGATATTCAGGGATTGGCCATGCACTCAAAAGTGCATCTAATGTGGTCTGGCAAATGCTAGCAGAAATGCTTCCCTGAGCTAGGGTTTCTATCCTTTATGTTAACAAATCCGCACGTGTGCTTTGAACAGGGGCATGGCAAGCAGAAATTCAGCAGGTGCAGTTTCTCTTCCACAGCATCTTGGTGTTAGGAAAGGTGCACCTGCTGATTGCTACCTGCCATGGGCTGTTAAATGGGCGAGGGGGTCTGAACAGAACAAAGGTTGATACCTCCCTATTTTGAGGGAGCCAAAATCCTCGAGACTCAGAATTTGTTTGCTGCCCAGTTTATTTTTGTCCCATCTTTTAAGGCCAGGTGAAATCTAAAATAAGAATCAGGATAACTTGTCCTCAGACCCCTGTAATGAAAACACTCTATTAAAAAGGTGTGAGATTAAAACCCAGATAACCTGCAAGAAAAATCAGCAAGAAGCTTGACAAAATAAAGAGGATGTTAGCAGCTGTATTTATCGATGATCAAGTTTATTTCACTGCATTGTCATATATATCAGTATACGGACCTGTCTTGCAGAATTGTTGTATGAAATACTGATGAAACATAAAGGGAAAACTAACTGGTGCCTGTGGCTGATCTTGGGTGGGGGTAGATTCCCCCTGAGACACTAATTGCATGACTTAGGAGTTCACCGGGATCAGGTGCTCTCTGTAGGAAGGCAACACAGGCGGCCTTGGTCACAGCCAGCTGCTTGTTATCACCTTTGACTGATTCAGCAATTGTGCCCTTCTCTGGATTGGGCAGATCTTGCCTTACTTATTCATGCCCTTATTACATTTAGGTTAGATATCTAGATAAAGGTTTCAATATGAATCTGCCTTTGAAGACGCCTTAGTGAGAAGGCCACTGGCTGGTTGCTTCTGGGCTCCAGTAGGTGATCAGTGCATATAAATAACACTGCACACCAGTGCGTATCACCCTGTTCATATAATCTGCCACTGCACTGGTTGCCAGTACATGAGCAGGTTCAGTTCCAAGTTCTAGGTTTTGCCTTTAATCCCCTAAATCAGTGATGGTGAACCTTTTTGAGCCGGAGTGCCCAAACTGCAACACAAAATCAACTTATTTATTTCAGAGTGCCAATACTGCAATTAAAACCCGAATGCTGAGGTTTTAGTTTGTTTGTTTTTTCCTATGAGTGGTATTTAACCACTGCGCCACGAGGCTCTTCTTTCTTTCTTTATTAACAAATAAATACTTACTGGTCCTCCAATCCCCCATTGGGCTAGACCGGTGATGGTCGCCATTGCACTCCTCCGCTGGACCACTGCACCAGCAGAGGGGAGTGCTAAAATCCAGGATCGGAGGACGGGTACGTATTTCTCTATGGCGACTTATGGCTCTGTGTGCCAGCTGTGGCGCGCATGCCATAGGTTCGCCATCACTGCCCTAAATGATTTACGATTTGAAGGATCTCCTGCATCTATATGAACCTGCTTAGGCTTGATGATTGACCCAGAGCCATTCATTTACTCACTGGTGAGGTCTTTCTGATATATCTGTAGCAAAGGCAAACTCATTTTCATCGGCTTGTCACTGTCATCTTTTAGGAAGTGTCCCTGGTTCCTTCTGTCCGTTTTTAAACAGGGTCTTATGATAAGGCAGCCTAATCTGGTTTTAACTGAAACCACTTATAAGTGACTGGCTTGCTGTAGATGAATGATAATGGTTTCTGCTACTCCTTATTGTTGAATGTTTTGTTTTTATTAATAATAATAATAGTTGTGCTGTCGGTTGATTCTGACATACGGTGACCCTTTCTCAGGATTTTCTTCTTGTGGCATTCAGGGGCTGTGCAGCTTGCCCAAGGCTACACAGGCTGGGTCTTGTCCAACACAGCACAGTGGGAATTCAAACTCTGTGCCTAATTCAGATACACTGGCAAGTAGAATCAGAAGAATTCAGCTTTGCTGAAGCTTGATTTGTAGCCTATGTTATGTTTCTGTTAGGTGATCGCACAAAGACTGCAAATTCTTTTGGTGCCAGTGTCTGCAGTATCTCCTCAATCTGGGGCTCTTTGATCTATTCTATGCCAATGGTCCCCAACTTTGGGCCTCCAGATGTTCTTGGACTTCAAGTCCCAGAAATCCTGGCCAGCAGAGGTGGTGGTGAAGGCTTCTAGGAGTTGTAGTTCAAGAACATCTGGAGGCCCAAGGTTGGGGACCACTGTTCTATGCCATGACCCACAGCCCTCCTTCTTTTGATCCTGACCTCTGCCAATCCCTGGCTCTCGTTTTATGGTCCATTGTAAAACCAATGAGCTGTTTTAGGTGTAGGGCACTGCTGAGGGAAAGGTGCCGTTCTCTAAAATCCAACATAATATACTAACACATACACAGGTTCCACAGACAGATAGTAGTCTGCTGTAGTTAGTGGGAGCTGTTTGTATTTCTGCGAAGGTTTGCTAGGGTCTTGAGGTGAACTGTCTCCAGGTTCCTTCTTTGGACTGAGTAATGACAACTTACTCACAGATCCCAAAACATCAACATTGATTTCTGGAAAAACCCCCAAAAAACTATTAACATTAACAGGAGCCACCAACTGATCCTCTTCATGCAACAGTGTGAGGAAGGGGTTAAAGTCTTGAATAACAAAGGGGTTGTCAGGAAGTCCATATCTAGGAACTGGGTGATAGTCTCTTGTTGATGGTCCTGGTGAAATTGTCAACATGGTCTCCTTGGGGTGCCTCATACCCAGGTGCTCCAGTTGCTGACTGGCCCTTCCTCATTTTTCCTTGGCTAACTTGGTTCTTTCTTCCCTTCATCTCTTTCCCCACTCCCTGGCCTCCTCCTCACCGAATAGGACGGTTTCTGGGGTCTCATTTCTTGTCTCCTCCTTTCAGTCTCCTCATGGGGAACCCTGAGTCTTTCCCACTTTCCCAAAGGTTTCCCAAACTTTCCCAAAGGTTTTCCATCCAGATCCCTTCCCGCCCAGGTGGAAGAATCTTATTCTCATTTCTCACTTCCACCTCGCCTGGCTCTGCTGCCCTTCTCTGAGACACCTCCTCCTTATATACCTCCATTTCCCCCTTTTCTCCCATTCCTGCCATTTCCAACTGTTCCAACATGTCCTCCACTACCATCCCCACGTCCTCTAATAACCCAGCTTTCTCCTTTACTAGGGTTCCAAACTTTACCCATGGGTCCATGTTGTCCCCATCTATCTTTCCTGCCTTTTCTTTCAGCCAGACACTCTTCTCTTTCCCCCATAGATGCTGTCACTTCTCTGGCCATTCGGGTCTTCCCTGTCTGACTGTCTCTGAGCTGTTCCCTTCTCTCAGCAAGAATGGGCGGCTCTTGAGCCCAGTTGGTATCAGACCGACCATCCATCTTGCAATTTCATATCAATTTATTTGTTACCCCTGCAAAGGTGACTTTGTGGCAACTAGGGGCAAAACTGCTGGTGTGTGTGTGTGTGTGTGTGTGTGTTTTCAGCTGTCCAAAGCATCCCACCCAGCTTAGTAAGTCACCAGAATACCACCTACAGTCATTCTTTTGGACAAGAAAATAACTGTTCTCACCAGGAAAATACCATTCAAATTGCTCCAGCTTTATATATATAAAAAATTAGGGGGCCCGCAGCAGTGAGGGGGGAAAAAACTCTGCTACAGAAGCAAAAAGGGCCAGATTGATTCTGATTGATTTTCATATTTTGTGGTCAGTGATAAGAAATTCAAATGCCTCTGTTTTACTTCCATAGCAAATCCTGTACTGTTTACGTATGTACTTGCAACCTGACTGAGCTGTCCAGCCAGCTCCTTTTTATTCTGGACACTTTATTTTCACAATTTCCCCTTATGAATTCTGTAGACTGCCTTGAGTCAGCTTTTTGCCCAGATAGACCGTTACACAAACACATATACAAATTATCATAATTGTTAACACATAGGATTGGGTTGCAACAAAGTCACATATATAAACAAAATAATAGTGTGTGTGTGTGTGCGCGCGCGCGCGTGTGTGTGTACACACACACACACACACACATTATTATTTTGTTTATATATGCGACTTTGTTGCAACCCAATCCTATGTTTTAACAATTATGATAATTTGTACAGTATATGTGTCTGTGTGAAGGGGTGATATCTGGAGATCAGTGGAGCAGAAACCACCTGAGCTGTAAACTAGGAAAAAGCCCTCTCCTGTATGATCTGTAATCTTGCGGGAATCCTGCCCTGCATCTTTCGACACCCTATCCCTTTGGGATATGACCAGGATAGCATAGACACAAAGGACATACTGTTGATGGGTAGAGGCATGGTCTTTGTTGGAAAGGGGCAGGGGAACCAAGACGCCACTTGTAGAGGAAAGTGGTGCCCGTTTCTTTTCTTTTCTTGAAGGAATTGATAAGTTTTACTTCTGCTGTCAAAGACCTGCAGAACTAAAGTGACA